TATAACTTGTTTGTTCATTCTCTTAACAGGGGAAGGTTTCACTGGGGAAGGTTTTTAATTTTGGTGAAGTCCAATTTATTGATTGCTTTTAGTATTACGTCAAAGTACTCTCACCAAGCCCTAGGTCCCAAATATTTTTCCTATGTCTTCTAAAAGTGTTATGATTTGATGTTTTACATTTAAATCTATGATACATTTTGAATTAATTTTTGTATAAGGTGTGAAGTTTAGGTCAAGGTTTTTTCTTTGCCTATAAATATCCAATTTCTCCAGCACCATTTGTTGAAAAAGCTACCCTTTCTCCATTGAATGGCTTTTGCATCTTTGCCAAAACTCAGCTGTCTGTCTATTTCTGGGTAGTCTAACCTGTTATATTGATCTATGTGTTTATCCCTCTACCAGTACCACATTTTGTTCATTACTGTAATATATAGTAAGTATTAGATTTGGGTTAAGTGATTCTTCCCACTTAACTCTTCTTTCAAAATTATTGTTACAATTTCAGTTTGCCTTTCCATATAAATTTTCGAATACTCTTGTATCTCAAAAAAATATCTTGCTGGAATTATAATAGGAATTATGTTAAACCTGTACGTCGGCTGGGGAACAATTAGCATCTTTACTGAGTTTCCCAATCCATGAACACAATACGCATCTCTATATATTTATATTTTCCTTTATTTCTTTCATAAGTGTTTTGTCGATTTCAGTGTAAGTACTGCTCATGTTTTACAAAACTTAAACCTAAATTGTTTTGTTGTGACTGTAAATAGTATTACATTTTTTATTTTGGTTTCCATGTGTTCATTGCTAGTATATAAAAGTATAATTGATTTTTGTCTATTATCTTGTATTCTGAGAACTTGCTGAACTCACTTTAAGTTATTTTGCTGGTTTCTTGGAATTTTTAAAATAATTCCTTCATTTTGTTAAAAAATAATAAGTTCGTTTGTTCAATAAATTATTAAATTGTTTACTTTGTGCCAGATACTGTTCTAACCACTAGATATGGAGGTTACTGAGAAAATTAGTTTCTTGATCTCATGGAGCTTAGATTTTAGAGGAAAGAAAAGGACTGCAATCAATTAAATAACAATTAATTTCACATGATGGTTTAGTACTATAAAGAAATAAACAGGGGCGCCTGGGTGGCTCAGTGGGTTAAGCCGCTGCCTTCGGCTCAGGTCATGATCTCGGAGTCCTGGGATCGAGCCCCGCATCGGGCTCTCTGCTCAGCAGGGATCCTGCTTCCTCCTCTCTCTCTCTGCCTGCCTCTCTGCCTGCTTGTGATCTCTCTGTCAAATAAATAAATAAAATCTTTAAAAAAAAAAAAAAAAAAGAAATAAACAGAGTAACATAATAGAGTGGTAGATAATCTAGAACTGACCATATGAGGAGATGACTTTTGAACAGATTTAAATTATAGTAGCCAGAGAAGAAAATTTCAGTAAGTACAAACGCCCAAAGACCTGAAAGAGGATGGATGACCTGAGGAAGAAACCATTAGAAGGCCAGTGTGGCTCACATTGTAAGGAGGAGAGTAGTAGGAAATGACTCAAGAGTTACTTCATGTAAAGTCTTGCAGTTAATAGTAGGCACTTGAATCGTTTGCATTTTATTCTAAATAAGATAGGAAGCACTGACAGTTTTAAAAGTTGTTAGGGAATTGCTTTTCGGCCTTTTGGCTAAGATCAAGTATAAAAGTTGTTAGGTTAAGTTTGGTGTACGTTATTGAAATCATAAAAAATATCACCCCACCATACCAGTGATCGGTATATTTCTTTCCATCTTTTTAATTTAAAAAATGTACATCAACATAAAATGCATAAAGTGATTCTTAGTAATTATTCACAAGATGATTTATTAATCACAGTTCTTTCTAATCTACACAATGAGTTTGCTTTTGATTCTATAGAGAAATATAGATAATCTCATAACCTCATAGTAGTGGTGTTGCAGTTGGCCAACTCTAACCAATGCCTTTGAAAATGTCTTTCCTCTTAGCCTATCACAAATATATAAATGCACACACACTTCTCAACTAATAGCTATTTATTTAACCTCTGGTGCTTTCATGACCTTGTCTGTAAAATGTGTCCACTGATGTCTTCTTCCAAAGTCTGTTTCAAAAACTAAGAATAAAGTATACTATATTGAGTCCCAGGAAAACAGAGGGTGTTTAATAAATGATATTTCCCTATCCTGAGCTTTTTATCGTTCACCCCCATCACAGCTCCTACTTTCAGATTTAAGATATTTCTAAAACTATTTAATTCATAACTGGAGTCTTAGAGTAAAATTTTATATAAAATTTTAAAGCCTGTAGCAATAGCACCTATTAATTCAATGATTGGGGGAGAACACACTTCAGCAAAACCTTTCCACAGACTTTTGAAAATATTTTAAGATGTTGAACAAGAACATGGTACTGTATATAACTTTTAGTTGTGGGATAAAATCAATTATGTAGGGGCGCCTGGGTGGCTCAGTGGGTTAAGCCTCTGCCTTCGGCTCAGGTCATGATCTCAGGGTCCTGGGATGGAGCCCTGCATCGGGATCTCTGCTCAGCGGGGAGCCTGCTTCCCCCCCTCTCTCTGCTTGCCTCTCTGCCTACTTGTGATCTCTCTCTGTCAAATAAATAAATAAAATCTTTAAAAAAAAATCAATTATGTAAAACCACTTTCAAATGAAATCTTAAAACACAACAGAACAGCATATTGTGTACATTTTTTTTTTTTACCAATGGCAATATAGGAAAACATGCTTTGACTATTTGAGCATAAAAACCTACTAGATATTTTATTTCATGCATCTATCACTCAAGAAATACTTTAAAAACACTGAGTCATGGTGCTTTTGGAAGCCTGATAGCATGAAACTATGTTATCTGTGTTATGCAGACTGAGAACAACTTGCACTATGTTCTCTCAGACATCTTATTTTACAACACTCAATTTCTCAAGAGAGAATATTAACAGAAAGAAATGTTATTAATGATCTGTTAAGTTTTTAACTAACCAGTATTTTTTTTTCCTATTTTGGAGTAATTACTTCACTCCTGTTATTCAGCAATCTTCAATCATCTTCAGTTGGCTCCCTAGCAAATCCTTAACTAAGGCTAATTCCAAATCTCTGCTACTCCTCAAATTCACAGGCCTACCGTTCATTCCTCTTAATGTTTCACTTTTTATATTATTTTTGTCTTCCAATACGGCACCATTCCCAGTAAAGTACAACCTTCCTCTGTAGTTTTACCCTCTATCTATTTGAAAAGGAAAAGTTCCAAAGTTATTCCTGTGCTCTAGCATGGTTGTCTTTTAGACTCATCAACTGCCTTATTTCTCTTTTATCTTCAATTTCTTCCTACAAACTCAGTCCAAAAGTTTACTCTACTTGGTTCCCTTCTCATCTAAACTGCTATTCTTATGATTACCACAATTGGCATGTTAAATATGTTGGTGTAATCATTTTGTAAATTGGTAAGAGAAAAACATACAACTTTATTCATTTTTCTATTGGAAAATATTTCTATTTTATTTCTATTCTACCTTAAACCATTTAAGTTTTGTCATTATTAGAGGCCATTTATGCCTAATTTCACAACTATTATTTAATTATATTAGCTAAAGCTGAACGGGGCTATAATTATGCTCTTTTTCTTTCCAATTTAAAGGCCTCTGATTAAAGGCTATATTCTTAGTGCAAATCTTTGGACTTTAACTTGAAAAAGTACAAGCATCACTGTAGCTGTTTATTGTAAACCATCTTCAATGTCCGCATGCTTGCATAAAGGCATACCTCAGAGATAACGTAGGTTCAGTTCCAGACCACTGTAGTATGAAGTATCACAAGAGTCAAATGAATTCTGGGGTTTCCCAGGGCATCTAAAAGCTACGTTTACACAATACTGTTGTCTATTAAATGTGCAATGGCTTTATGTCTAAAAAACTACGTATCTTAATTTAAAAGTATTGTATTGCTAAAAGATGCTAACCATCATCTGAGCTTCCAGTGAATCATAATCACTGCTCACAGATTACCTTCACAAGTAATTACTAAAAAGTCTGAAATATTACAAAAACCAAAATGTGACAAAGCCACAAAATTAGCAAATACAGTTCAAAAAACAGCGCCAACAGACTGGCTTGACACAAGGTTACCACAAGCCTTCAATTCATAAACCAGTATCCGCAAACCACTATTTACTCTAGCGTGTGAAATGCAACAAAATGAGATATTAAACACTGTGAAATTTTCACCTGGTTTTCTATTTTCAAAGTACTCTTCGAGATGACATAGGCAAATATATACCTTTCATTCTTTCTCACCTGCCACCTTTTCCTTACTCTTCCATTGTTTGGACACCTTTTAGTTTTTCAGTATGACCCAAAAGCCCACTAAAAAGATAGTTAGAGGCTTGACAAAACAAATCCCTACCCATACTGGCCCTCACTAAACGCACGCAACCGCCAGTACAGTTCTTACTTTAATAACCACAACACTGAAGGCACTCACATTTAGGAGCCTTAGCTCATTTCTCGATGAAGGAGCCAAGACCTAAACCATTTCTTCTCAATCACAGTTTTGAGTTGTCTTCCTTACTTACTCCCCAAATGTTTTTCTCTCGTTTCCAAAACGTTTTCACAAAACGTTTACACAAAATTTCCTCAGGCTTTCACGAGCAACCTGACCGGCACAGAACCTACAGAGTTCCGAAGGTGGGCATACTAAAATCGTGGTCACTTCCTCAGCGTCCGCTCCCGGCCGCACCTGCCAGAAAACCGCCTGTGACTCGACACACGCTTCCCAATGACGCGAGTGTCGTCGTGCAACTCCCCTGGAGGCGGCCGCACCTGCGCAGCTGCGAAGGAGCGGGGCGGGGCAAGGCGAGGACGGGCGGGATGGCAGCGGGAGCGTAGCCTGGAGGGTGGCCGCGAGTGGGGGAGGGTTTGGAAGGGGGAGAGGAGGACAGAGAGGTGGGGGCGGGGGAGGGGGCGGAGGGCCCGAGGGCTGTAGGGCTGGAGGGCGGGCCTTTCCGGAGGGAAAGGTCTTTCACTTCCTGTTTGCGGGAACTTCTGAATCCGGGTCAAGGAGGGTTCGCCTCCTCATCTTCCCCCGGGCTGACCCGGCACTTTCAGTGACAGCGGCTTCTGACTCAACCTAAGGCTGGTTTCATCTTACGACCTGCTGAGCCCGGACGTCCACACCTGCCTCGGGACGCTAAGTCGCGCTTCCTCCACCTATTGGGGGACAGCCACGGGCCTTAAGTGACCGCCGCCGCCGGGGGTCCTCGCCAACCGCTCCGCGCTGATGCTGAGAGGGAGCGTGGGCCCGGGGCGGCGGCGGAGTGCGAGCCTCTGGCTCCCTAGGCCCGCCGCGGGCGCTGCCGGTTCTTACGCTCCCCAGGCTTGCCACCTCCCGCCCGGGCTTGGATGGGCCCCTCTGCCCGATAAATGTGGCTGCTGAGACTGCGGTGGCGGTGGTCGGTCCCGCTGCTGCTGCGGCGCTCCAAGTTCACCTGTGCCGCGGGACTCTCCTGCCCCACGTCGGGACTGTCGCCCCCCGCTCCTAATCCCCCGGCCCCGGCCTTGCAGTTTGGCGACAATGGACAAGATCCTGGAGGGCCTGGTGAGTTCTTCGCACCCACTGTCCCTAAAGCGGGTGATTGTGCGGAAGGTGGTGGAATCGGCGGAGCATTGGCTAGACGAGGCGCAGTGTGAAGCCATGTTTGACCTGACCACCCGGCTCATCCTGGAGGGCCAAGACCCCTTTCAGCGGCAGGTGGGGCACCAAGTGCTGGAGGCCTATGCACGATACCACCGGCCAGAATTCGAGTCCTTCTTCAACAAGACGTTCGTGCTGGGCCTCCTTCAGCAGGGCTACCACTCGCTGGACAGGAAGGACGTAGCCATTCTGGACTACATTCACAACGGCCTGAAGCTGATCATGAGCTGCCCATCGGTGCTGGACCTCTTCAGCCTGCTGCAAGTAGAGGTGTTACGTATGGTGTGTGAGAGGCCGGAGCCGCAGCTGTGTGCCCGATTGAGCGACCTCCTGACCGACTTCGTGCAGTGCATCCCCAAGGGAAAATTGTCCATCACCTTCTGTCAACAGCTTGTTCGAACGATAGGCCATTTCCAGTGCGTGTCCACCCAGGAGAAGGAGCTGCGGGAATATGTCTCTCAGGTGACAAAAGTGAGTAACTTGCTGCAGAACATCTGGAAGGCTGAGCCCTCCACACTCCTGCCTTCCCTGCAGGAAGTTTTTGCAAGCATTTCTTCCACAGGTAAGTGTCATTATATTCCAGAAAAATCTCTCTTGGAAATTCAGTATGTCTCTTAGACACACACCATGTTTGCTTCTCTGCCCTAAAAACATTCTTAATGGAGAACAAATCTTAATACCCTCATCCAAAGTTTTATTCTCATCCACTTCCGTATTTAGGGTGTCCATTTGTACCTTTGGGGGGGAAAAAAAGCAGTGTTCCTATTTAAATGTTGAAAACACTGAGGTCTAAGACCTTTGGCACTGAGTAAGTTGCTTAATTACCTAGCCTCTGCTGAAGTTATGGACTGCTTTGAGGATGACAGGACTAAATAAAGCTTCTATTCATTAGTGACTAATGATAGCATAATCATGTTTACCATATTATTATTGTACTGTGACTCTGTCATCTTGTCGTTACAAGTTTTTCTCCTGTTTTTTAATTTTCCCACTTTTTTGTTCATGGGCTGTGTGGTTTGTTTTATTACTGGATTATCACAGTTCAACTATGTAGTTTTTGCATATTGACTTTTTTTTCCTCTACAGTAGTGTATGACAGAGAGGGTATAGGTAGAAGGAGGGAAAGACTATGAGGACTTAAATAGATGTTTTTGTGCTCAGTGTATATAGCCCATGAACTACATCCTTAGAAAGTGGGAAGGAATCAAGTGATAATTGGCAAGAAAATGCTTTCTCACCAGGAATTTTACCTTGTATTTACATTCCTTTTTTGGACTTGGAACTTTCAGCTCTGTAAGTTGTGAGACAATAGACCCAAAACTGTGTTCCTTTCCACTCTACTTGGTACAACCATTCTCCTTGGCTATTTGAAATTGAACTTGTGAAGGAGGTGTCTTTTATCTTGGGAACCAGAAATAAAAGTAGAGTTTTAACAAGCTCCGTATATTCTGATGAATTAAATATGTTTAGGAAAGAATAGTCAACTAAATATTTGCAGTATCTGAGTTATCTTATTTTTTCCTTGTAATTTTTCTTTTATTACCTGTGTTGCTAGAACTGTTAGATTTCCCCAGAACTTTTTCAACAGTAGCAGTAAAGGAACTTGTCTTGAATTTGCTTAATCATTATATAGTTTAAACAAAGTCCCCTCAAAATTCACCTTAATTTTTACTTCTTTAAGAGATTTCCTTTAAGTCTTCCTTAGAACAATGTAATGGCTACTGTAATTAATAGTTATAAGTTACTTTGGAAGATCTAAAGTGGGAATTTAAATGATACCTAAAATTTCTTTTCTGACTACTGACTTACAAATGAATATTTTAACACAACTTAATATTAATATGACTTAATATTAACTAATGCAGGAGAATAAAGTAACTTATGAGCTGAATATGGTGATAGTGAACAGTAGGTTTTATATTGTAGTAGTTCTGTCTATAATGAACAATCATTGCTGCTCACTTTTCATCCCTCATTTCTGTAATTTAACGTTCCTTGGATATTAGCCTGCCTATGAGGTAGAGCATAACAGCTTGTCCTGAGTAACACCTTTGCTGCGAATACATTTTTTTTTTTTTGTAAATTGTTGTTTCTCTCTAAATACTTCACTTGAACCTTCTTGACATATCCCTTTTTCTTTTTAATTAAAAAAATAGATACATCATTTGAACCTTCTGTAGCATTGGCAAGCCTTGTGCAGCATATTCCTCTTCAGATGATTACAGTTCTCATCAGGAGCCTAACTACGGATCCAAATGTAAAAGATGCAAGTATGACCCAAGCTCTTTGCAGGTACTTCTTCATGACACTGTAGATGGTGTTGTAGATTTGGGAGGAGGAAATACTTTATTGTATTTTGTGGGTAATGAAAAACTTAGATGTTTAAACTGAAATCACAGAATGAAATACATATTCTCCAAATTAATTGGAATGAATTATTTACCTTACTATCTAGGTGTGACAGGTCTCCCAGTAATTCAAAGTCCATTTTCAGTTCAGCTTTTTTTAATTCCAAAAATATACACAGGAGTAGACTTACTGTACAGTAAGGAATTGGTTGGATTATCAGTATATTTTACTAATTACTGATTGTGGTTCCTGCAACCTGTTTTCCCTGGGTTTTTGTTTTTTGCTTTTTTAAGCTAAGTACATACTTTTACTTTCTCTTTCAATCAGAATCTCTGGATAATACACTCTACCTTAGTCTGTTTAAAATGTGTTTTTTCTTCCTTATTCTTAAATAGATGATTGGGTAAAATGCAGAATTCTAATTTGATAGTCATTTTCTCAGCATTTTGAAAATAATACTGCACTGTGTTCTGGCATTTATTGTTGCTGATATGGAGTCTGCTGTCAATCCAGTTGTCATTCCTTTGTGAGTAGTTAGGCTTTTCTGGTAACGTTTATGTCTCTTGATGTTTTTCAGTTTATTCTTATATTTCTAGGTGTAAACTAAATATATTAATCCTCAGCATTTTCATGCTTTTATTAATTCATTTGTTCATTTATTCAAACCATATTTATAGACACTTAACTTACCATGAGTGCTAGGCAGTGTTTCAAAACCTCTTTGAACAAATGGATTAAAAAAAATCTATCTTCATGGATTTAGTTTCTAGATGAAGAAGAAGACAGTAAATTAGTAACATATCTCTTTGATTGCAAGATGCATTCTAATTTCAGAGATGTTAAAATGTGGACATATACAGTCACTTGGTATGCTAATCTAATTGGCATGACTTTTCCTGCCTTAGTGGTACGTAAACTAATTATACATTCTAAAATTAATTTTGTTTTAGATTTTATTAAATATGATAATTAAAATTATAATTTAGTATTTGAATAGTGATAACTGTTTTTGGAAAAAAAGTAGATAGGAAGGACATAAAGTATGAGAGATTGGTTTGCAATTTTAAATTAGGTGGGTTAGGAAGGCCTCAATGAGAACATGAGGATGAAGTAAAGACATAAAAGAGGGAGCAAAGCCTGTAGAGATCGAAGGGGAAGAACATCAATATTGTCTTACAACTCACTGATTTTTTTTCTTCAGAGGTACCCTTTTATAGGGCTTATTCCAGCAATTGAGTTTCTTTATTTCAGTGACTCTATTTTTCTTTAAAACCTCAACCTCTGCTCTTCTTTAAAAAAATTTTATTTATTTATTTGACACAGAGACGCAGTGAGAGAGGGAACATAGTGGGAGTGGGAGAGGGAGAAGCAGGCCTCTGGCTGAGCAGGGAGCCCAGTGTGGGTCTCCATCCGAGGACTCCCAGATCATGACCTAAGCCGAAGGGAGATGCTTAACAACTGAGCCTCCCAGGTGCCCCTCAGTGATTTTTTTTCTAATCGAGCTTTCCTCCTCTACCTATTTTTGTTTCACATCTGCCTGAATTTTTTTGTAATTTTTTTCTACAGTGTACACATTTGTGCATGTGTATGTGGCACATCTAAATAAAATATAAGGATTTGGAACAAAATAATTTCTGTGTACCTGTTACAAAGTTGTAGTCATCACATAGAAACTTAAGTATTTATGTTGGATATTCAGAAAGCTACATGTATACAAATCTCACTATCTGTAACACAAACTTTGGGGACATGGATTTTTTTTCCACTTTTTCCCCCTTTTTGTCTAGGGTTCGAAAAGACCCTTCTCTTCCAGCTTTTCTTTTTTCCTTGCACTCAAATTTAACTGAATCAATTTAGCTCTAACTATTACTTTCAGTTTCTTGTTTCTCATTCTCTCAAACTTCCATAGATCTGTATAAATGTTATTCCTGCTTTATGGCCTCTATCTCTACTACGTTCAATTTATGGTGATCTCCTTGCCATATTTAGTGGTCTCTATTTTTGTTTTCATCATCTTGATATCTTTGTATTCATAGTCCTTAAAATTATAGAAATCCTGTGACACCATGCCGTTAGGATTTTCTTCATATTGTTCTTCTTATTTTTCCTTTTCCCTTTCTATATGTGGTTGATTTCCAAGTCTTTATGTAAAGTTCTCATTGTTTGTTTACTTTTAATTTTAAGAAACACTCTTACCAAGGCAGCTGGTGGCTTAGTCATTTGAGCCTCTGACTCTTGATTTCAGCTAAGGTTTTGAACTCAGGGTTGTGTGTTCAAGCCCCAAGTAAGTAGCGTGGAGCCTACTTAAAAAAAAAAAAAAAAAAAAAAAGGAAAGAAAGACTCCTATCTCATCCATCTCTCCATAATGAAATTCTGTATATGTCCTATTTAGCAGTAACACTCCACTGTAAGTGTGACCTCAACAGCACTAAAATTTCTTTCTCTTTGAGATGAAGATATCATAAATTATGTTGTCCTTAAATAAAATAGGAAGATTCAGAGAATTATATATTTCATAGCTGAAAGTGAAATTAGAAATCCGTTTGTCTGTCACCTTCATTGCCTAGGTAATAATATCTAACATTTTTCATTACATGCCATAAGTCATTGCAGCAGAGTCTTCTAATTGGTCTTTTTGCCAACAGTGACTTATACTTCTCTCTCTTTAAGTCATCCTGATCTATTCAGTTCTCCCTTCTGATTAACAAACTGCAGTGACTTCCACCCATGACTAAATCAAGTGCAAATTCCATTTCTTGGCAGTTGGCACTTTTCATCTTAATTTTTCAACCTTTTCAAAATAGCCATGGTATCCAATTTCTGAATTTGTCTTGTTTTTAAAATATATTTGGTAGTTAATTTTTGCTTATTTGTTTCTGTGGGAAGCTGTGATCCACTTTTTAAAAGTATTGCATTTTTAATTTATCCTGTATGATCCTGTTTAACCCATAGTCTATCTGAAGTAGTTATTCTTATTTTACAGATGTAACTCAACAGGATAGCAGTGTTTATTTTTATCATACTCCCACCTTCTCCTTCCTCTTAGTCTGTATTTCCCCACACATAGCACTTACTATGCTTGAACTGTTATTTTCTGTAATCTAAAGAAATGCAAATACCATACCAGAAACAGATAAGTAACATTAAAGTATGAGATTAACCAGATGTAAGTGAAATAATAAGGAATGGGGTACATAAGCACCTTCTAAAAGAGAATGCTGATCCTCAACTCCAGTTTTCTTGTTGTCATAAGGAAATTTGAATTCAGTATGGCTGATCTGATTTTTCAAAAGCCTGTGATCCAGTTTTTTATGTGAAATTTCCCAATTTTTAAAACAGTGGAACAAGGTAAACTGAGGCTGGCCATGAAGGTGCCATCTAAAAGTGAAAATTGGTTTTATTCTCTACAAATTAAGAATAAATTTATTTTTTGTCTTTTGTAATATTGCCAGTTTTAATGTTAAGATTTTCAAGTTGCATTTTTTTGCAACTTGAATGGTTTCATTTATTCATCAAATTTGAATTCCTTCTCAGCTCCAAACACTATGCTAAGTACTGGAGATCCATAAATTAAAGGCTAAAAAAAAAAAAAAAACCAAGATCACTGCTCTTAAGCCCATGATCTAATGGAGGAAAGAAGATTTCAAAGTACATAAATTATAACTGTAATCAATGTTTTGTTTTTGGTTTTTTTTTTTTTTAAGATTTTTTATTTATTTGTCAGAGAGAGAGAGGGAGAGAGAGCGAGCACAGACAGACAGAATGGCAGGCAGAGGCAGAGGGAGAAGCAGGTTCCCTGACGAGCAAGGAGCCCGATGCGGGACTCAATCCCAGGACGCTGGGATCATGACCTGAGCCGAAGGCAGCTGCTTAACCAACTGAGCCACCCAGGCGTCCCTCAATGTTTTTTAAATAATAAGAAATTAACTCAATATATCAGGGTTAAGTATCCTTAAAATTCATGTAGAAACCGATATATGTTGGACAAAATTAGTGTAGTTAATCATAAAAATAACTCATCCTACAATACCAGTGCCTGAAAGGATTTGGGCATATGCAAGTCCAATCAAATTGAAGCAGAACTGGAATATAATTAACGTGTAGCTCAAAGCATTGCATTTATACACCAGCAGAGCTTAGTTCAAACACCAGTACTGCTGTTTATTAATTGTATAACTGTTGACAAAATTCCTAATTTTTCTTACCAATTTGAAAGCAGAAATTGTAATTACTTTGTTTTCAGCACTTAACAGAGTAACTGTTATGGAATAGGCACTCAAATATTTGTTGAGTGAATGGCTTCTTATTCATTTACTTTTGACTGGAAGTTTCTTTAGTATGCCGGAGGACATTGTGGACATATGGGATAAGGTAAAGAGTGAAGGCTTTTGAGATGAGAAGCTAGAAATGGGAAGGAGAGGAAAAAGCTGATTGGGTGATTAGGTATAATGCAGAACCATGGCCAAATGGAATTTTCTACTCTACTCTTAGACCTGAGCTAAAGGGAGTTCTGGCCCAGGGCCCACTGTTCTGGAGAGCCCAGTTTCTTTCTACTCTGGTGGTACCATTCCCCACACGGGACAGAGTCCACAAAGCCAAGGAGATGTGCTCACATATACTTCTCTGTATCACATTTTTGTATGTGTGCGTATTTGTACCAAAAAAATATGAAATGTGTCCAGCATGATTTTTTTAAACAAGAACAGTTTTTAGAAGAGTTATTGGCACTTTTTTTCTTCTTTAATTGAACAATATCTCAGATCTTTCCATGTTAGATCCCCACAGATCAATTCATATAGATCCATCTCATTCTTTAAAATTAGGGTCTCCTGAGTGGCTCAGTGGGTTAAGTTTCTGCCTGCAGCTCAGGTCATGGTCTCAGGTCATGGTCTCAGGGTCCTGGGATCGAGCCCCGCATCGGGCTCTCTGCTCAGTGGGGAGCCTGCTTCCCTCCCTCTCTGCCTACCTCTCTGCCTACTTGTGATCTCTCTCTCTGTGTCAAATAAATAAATAAATGAAATCTTTTAAAAAAAATACTAAGTTTAAAAAAAAAAGGAATAAAATTGTACATAATGTTCCATAGTATATTTAGCCATTCCCTCATTGATGGACATTTAGATTATTTGCATTTTTCCATATCCTAAATACAGTGCAACAGTGAACTTACTCTTTATATACCAATACAGGTGTCTCTCTACTCCCTATATGTAGAGTGGCTACAAACTTTTATGAAAATCAACTTAACAACAGTTAGAATATGTGGAACAGCTGTCAAAGGCTATTTTAACGATTTGTAACCATCATTGTTTAAAGGAGATGGCCAGAAAAACAAGAAAGGAAAAAAAATATGGATTTAAAAAAATAAAATAGGAAACATAAGGAACATATAGATAACTAACATGCATTTGGACTTTGGGCTACTCTTAACATCTGATGGAACATTTTAATCTTAAGAGCAAAAACTTTAAAAAAGAAGATAACACTCCAGTGTTAATATAGATGGTTATAACATTAGCTGTTGTGAAAATAACCATATCAATTTTGAAGTCAGTTTTTTTAAGATATTAGTTGCTCTTTTTGGTCATGTGCTTTTGTACTTAGTATTTATGTTTGACATTTTATTCAGTTATTTATTTATTGCCTTATGTGTTGATATTTGGTAGAAGAGAAGCATTCACAATGAGTATTTCCAGTGTCATATATTAACTCATGTAGTCTTCAAATCAGCCCTGTAAAATAAACATGTTTATCTATAATCCATAGATAAGGAAACTGAGACATAGATATTAGGGCCCCCCCAACTAATAAATGGTAAGTTAAGATTTTGAAACCAGATCACTCTGATTTTAAAAACCTTTTTTTTTCCTACTACTATTTTCTTATTATGTAATCCCCAAAACTGGATTATTGGATCAAAACAGTTGTACTGCTCTTTAATGTGATTGATATTTAACATTAAGGACAGTCTCCATCACACCCCATATTATTTTGTCTTTATTTCCATTAAACTGGGTTGATATTCAAGAAGAACACTGATTAATTCAGTATGAGGCCATTTAGTGTATTTACAGATTCAGTGCCCTTTTATCTATGTAAAGCTTCCTTCTTTGTCTTGGTATAGTAGGATAATGAAAGGGATAAAAAGACCTATTTCTCAATTCAAAATAGTCATTTTTAACAGTGCATTTCATTTTTAGACTGCAATCACCAGAAAGGAAAAATTTTGTTTCTATATATCTTAGTCAATAGCTACATTTGAGCTCTTCTTCTTAGGGTAAATTTGCCTAATAAATTCTAGTTAGCACTGTGTAGAGTCAACTTAAAACTGCATTTATGTGAAATGACACTTTATCAGAATTTCTTTTTATTGAAATATGTAAGAAACTGTTAGTTTCTTACAAGTTCAGAAACTCGTTGAGTACAAGCACCTTTATACTTATTTTTGCATCTTGAACAGTGCTTTTCACAAGCCAGCTCAGTAAATATTGAGTCACAAAGGGAGAGGTTGTCTACTGTAACTCTTATTATTCCCAACTAAAAGATGTTGAAAACATTTTCAAGACTGATAGTTTTCTTTTTCAATTTTCAGAATGATTGACTGGCTATCCTGGCCATTGGCTCAGCACGTGGATACATGGGTGATTGCACTCCTAAAAGGACTGGCAGCTGTCCAGAAGTTTACTATTTTGATAGATGTTACTTTACTAAAAATAGAACTGGTAAGTTGGAGAATATAAATCTCTTTGAATGAATGGTCTCAATCTTTTAATCTTTGGGTGGTCCCCTGTAAAGCATCTAATGCTGAATATGTTCTTGTTTTTGGTTGGTTTTGAATTTGAAATAGAAATTAAGAATGGTATTTTAGTATAGATAATTAAAATAATTTTGCTGTTTTCAAGTATCTAATATGAAAACATTCCTCCCATTATCTCTTAAATCCGGCTAATCAAGCTTTTACCACCCTTATTCTACCAAAACCATCTTTGACACCAGTGCTTGCCAGTATTGCTAAACTCAGGAGTTGTTTCTTAGGCTTCCTCTCATTTGACCTATCAGCAGCATTTGACACAGTTGATCGCTCCCTCTTGAAACACTTGCCTCACTTAGTTTTTGTTCTAGTTCTCTTGGCTTTTGTCCTAGTTTATTACTGGCACCTCAGTCTCCCATAATGGATCTTTCTAACTTTAGAGTGCTTTAGAGTTTCATTTTTCAACCATTTTTTACTCAGTCCATTCTCACAGCATATGGGTCCCATCACTTTAAAATAATGTTTCTTAGTTAATGACTGCCAGGTATATATTTCTTGTTCATTATAATCCCATGAACTCCACAGTCATGTATCCAAGTGTCTATACTTGAATATCAAATCCAGCTTATCCACGATCTAATTTCTGATTTTTCCCTCCCAGACCTGGTCTTCCCATCTTAAATAGTGACTCTATCCTTCTGCTTGCTCAGGACAAAACCTGAAAGCTATCCTTCTTGCTTTTCATTCTCTTTCAGCCCTTATCCTACAAATCCTATTGACTCCACCTTTAAAATGTCCAGAATCCTACCACTTTTAACCAGCTACATCACTACCACCTTGGTCCAAAGCTCTCATCATCCCTTGCTGTACAGATTGCAGTAGTCCCCCTGCTCCTACCCTTTGGTCACACAAGACCTACATGATCTAGTCCATTGCTCCTTCTCTCCTCAAGTCTTCCACTATTATTGCCTCAGTCTCTCTACTTTGCTTACACTGCCCTTTTTGCTTTATCTCTAGTACACCAGGCTGAAGACATCAGGGCCTTTGCAGTACTTGGCCTTTGCTTTGCTTATTATGCTCTTCTCTCAGGTGTCTACAGGCTTACTTTCATTTCCTTCAGCTTTTTTATATACAGATATCACCTTTTAAATGACACATTATTTGAATACTCAAATAAAATAACAGGTCCCTTTGCTACCCAGCAGTCCGTATTCTTCATACCCTATTTTCAGTATTTATCTCCATGTTACTTTTTATTGTCTACCTACCCTAGAGACAGTAAGCCCTATCAAATTGGAGATTTTTTTTTAATCCACTGTTGTATCCTCAGTGCCTAGAACAATGCCAAGCAATAGTAGATACTCAATCTATGTTTGTTGAATGAAATTGAATGAAGTGTGGGCCAAGGAACAATCACTTTGTTGATAAAGCTTGACAGATTTGTATTTGATCAAGGGGTTTTAAGAGTTTTTTAGACCACTGTATTTTCTTGATCTCTGTTATGTTGTTATTTCCCAACTTTCTCTCCCAAAGTGACATGTTATGATAGAACTTTCCAGGAAGGGAGATAGTCACATAAATATTTTTGGTCCAAGGAAAATAGCCACTGATTGAGTTAATGATTTCCCTACAAACTCCTAAGGTGGATGTCTTCTCTTTTTTGAAGGTTTTTAATCGACTTTGGTTTCCTCTTGTGAGACCTGGTGCTCTTGCAGTTCTTTCTCACATGCTGCTCAGTTTTCAGCATTCTCCAGAGGCGTTCCATCTGGTAAGTTAGGACATAAGCTTTCTGCACTGAAAAACTTTGTGTTAAAATTTTAGTTTAATGGAGTCACATTTGTATATAGTGAAAAAGACTATAATTAGTCCTGAATCTATTTTCTTGTAGCTTTATGATTTCTTAGAAAATTGAGATTGTGGGTTTTCCCTCCAAAAAATATATTTTCAAAATGTTTTGAGTCTCACGAAAACTGCTACACTTGGAACCACTACCAGCAGTTAAATATTATTGCTCTACATGAGAGATGTTACATGTCAGCATCACTGATGGTTGTCTCTTGCACATAGGAACAATGTAGAAGAAAAATGCTTTAGAATTTCAGAAATATGAAAACAATAGATGTTGTTTTATAGTCCCAGAATTGAGATGTCATTCTCTCCCAACCCATAACCTATAAATCCAGTTAACTCCACCTTTAAAATACATCCAGAACCCTACCATTTTTAATGAGCTATATCACTGGTTTTGATTTGATTTGATTTCAGTTCTTTGATTATCAGTCATTACAGGTGGAAATGACAAAATGTTATTTTGAGAATCTGTCCATTTATCTGTCTAGTGCATCGCAGGAAAGCAGTGCTTTATATGGTTATTTGCTTCTTTTAGAGTCTGGTCCCCAGTTTTATAGGACTTGAATCTTATTACTAGTACACCCACAATATAAATATCTTAGGAATGCTGACCCAATACAAGCAAATTCAAGGGAGACTGATGAAGAAGTCCTGAATTCCAGTTGTTGATTATTAGCTAGAAATAAAACTAGCCTCAAAGAACCATGTACATACTTAGGCTGCTTAGTGCCTCACTGCCACTGAAGGAAAATCTGCAGGCTTTACAGAAAGTAATCCTTATCAACAAGTAATTATATCATCCATTGTCACTTCGAATGGGTTTTTCTGGGAATTTCTACAATTAATTTCATAATTGATGCATCAACCAATAACCTGATATTGGTTTGTTACATAAACAAAACTCAGAACTCAAGCTAAGATAGGATGTGTACTAGCTAAGTCTAACAAGGTAAAGAACATCAATTATTTGTGTCTGTCTTCAGGCATAATCATGTGTAGGCCAGTTGAGAAAAGGTTTATTTTCAGATTTTCTGAGAAGGAGATTCTTTAATAAAACTTACTCATCCATTCTAATGTTTACTGCTCTTCTCACTGATGACATTCCTTAATCTGATTTGTCACTTATGCCATACTCTAAATCTATTTTTTGGCTCCCAGTTGATGGAAGATATCTCCATATGTTGTATTACTTCTTTTTCTGAAAAACATAGTTGAAATAAAAATGGTTGACTTTGAAATATTTGGTTTATTGAACTATTGATATGAAATCATTTATTTAAGGTTTAGTTAGATCTGAGATTGAAAATTGTCATCTGGCTTAGTAAATTCTAAAAACTAAGATCTAATTATTGCCTATATACTGTATGTAGCCTGACTGGCTACTCAACTAAAATGAACTTGGGCATCTAATGGTCATGTAGTAGTTAAATCAGTATTACTCTAACTCAGTAAAGGATGCAGGCTTAGAAGGTGTTAAATGTGAGCAATAACTTAGAATCACCAACATCATTATTCATAGCATTTTAGAGCAAACTAAGATTGATGTTATAGTATATATTATTATAGACCAAATTGCTTTTCAAATGCTTTTTATAAGTGGAAAGAAATTTATTTTAAACTAAAGAAAAATATCAAAGTTTCTGATAAGTCATACACATTTTCTCAAATGGTAACTTAAGTTTAGTGAGTATTACAGTAATGTCCACAAATATTTAGATTTACTCACTCAAAAAAAAGCAACTTTCAAGCAGTTAGAATGTAATAGCCTGCTTGGACATGTAACTATATACCTGTGAAGAACTTAGTCTCATTTCTATGTCAGTGATAATTTTGACCATACAGGATATAATAGTAGACAACTATATTACCTGATTGCAAAGACCAAATCTACACTAGGAAGGCTTTTGGAAGATTTAGAGTTGTAAATTAAATAATCATTTTTTAAAAATTATTTTCTCTTCTCTTCCACTTCTCTCTCTTTTCACCTGTGAGGAAGCAAAATAATTTTGGATTTCTGCTATTTTAACAAGAGACTATCTGATAGGTATAGCTATATGAAGCAAAATTATAATTCAGCTTTGTTTAGAAATGAGAGATGAGAGCAATACAGTGAACTCGTTAGGAACTGATGGTTTCATGGTGGTGGAGGTAAGATCAAAGAAGGTTGTGCAAAAGTTAAAAAGCGATTTTGAGACCTCAGGCATAGAATCAGAGCAAAATGAGAGTAGCACTGTTAATTTAAGAATATGATTGTTCCTGGGGCGCCTGGGTGGCTCAGTGGGTTAAAGCCTTTGCCTTTGGCTCTGGTGGTCCTGGGATCGAGCCCTGCATCGGGCTCTCTGCTCAGCGGGAATCCTGCTTCCTCTTCTGTCTCTGCCTGCTTCTCTGCCTACTTGTGATCTCTGTCTGTCAAAGAAATAAATAAAATCTCTAAAAAAAAAAAATTAGAATGTGATTGTTCCTTTTAGGAGGAAGGAAAGGGAGTTGATTATGATGCTACTATAATTGTTGTTATTGCCATTTAGTGATAAGACAATAGAGCCATAACTTCACTTTTATTACAAGTTAACAACCAAAAAAATGTTCTACAAATAGAATGTAATATTATTAGAGACCTTTTACATGTGAAGTATAAACGTGTATTATTAGATTAATTATTAATTATTATATTAATGATTAATAATTAATTGGAACAAAGATATCACTGCACTAATGGAAAGAGCCATTTCTGCAAAACCGAGTTCATGTTGTTAATAACCTCTTGAATATGTGATGACCCTGTATTGACTTTAATTTTGTAATGAAAGCATACTGTTGTGCTTATTATCAAAGTACTAAGTTTTCTGCATGTTTTTGAACAATGAGCATTTTAGATTTCCGTTTTAACTCCAGTTTCTTAAAAGTAATAGAAATTTTTTATTCCATTTATTCTTTAGAACCATCTCCTCTTTTTGGAGGTGGGGAAATGGAGTTGTTAAAAAGAATAACCATGCTAACATAAGACATCTTCTCTGTATCTTCTCCATACTTACCTAAAAGAAGAGCCGAACTGTAATTTCAGTTAAGTTAGTTACTTTCTTGAAGTAGATTTTAATGTGCAATGTACTGTGTTTAATTCTTTCAAGTGAAAAATCTAAACTTCACACTAGATGGAGCTCTTAAGCTAATTCTAGGTTTATATTTTTAAAAAGTTTGTTCCTATTGAACAATCTGGTAAATAAAATAGTCCTAACATTTTCAGCCTAGCATTTTTCAGAATGGCAGAAGTGACTACGACTTCTATTTTGTACCTTAGTTTGTGTTTTAGGTGGAGTATAAGGATAAGGAGATGGGTCTTATATGGAATTAAAATTATATGTGACTTTGAAAATTTGATTTACCTTGATATTCTAGAAATTTTAAATTCATAACTTTTTTAGGAAAAGACTGTGACTGAACTTACAGAAAAGTACTTGCTGATCATGTAACATTTGCATTCCATTTGTAGGCTAGAGAATTTGTTGCCCATTTGTATATTAGAGGAATGTTTGTCTTTTTTCTCTTCAGATTGTTCCTCACGTAGTTAGTTTGGTTCACTCCTTCAAAAGTGATGGTCTGCCTTCCAGTACAGCCTTCTTAGTGCAGTTAACAGAACTGATACACTGTATGATGTATCATTATTCTGGATTTCCAGATCTCTACGAACCTATTTTGGAAGCAATAAAGGTATGATGGTAGTTGCACCAATATTTGTTCAGCTGCAAATCATGATGTGATAGATGAATGTAGTGAAACATTTCTATAACTAGATACTCAATTTACTATTCTATAGTAATGTGCTTTTTATTTGAAAAATGTAATTAGAATGAGGGTTCATTAATATTTAGGGAGTAATCTCTTTCTTATTTGCTATAACTAAATTAATAACCATATTTCTTCAGTTCTACAATGCCATCAGTTATAAGGCATATCTTTAAATTTATAACAGCTGTTGGGGAAATTTGTTTAAAATTAAATGCTACATTAAGTGAATCCATACAATATCTAATATCAGAATTGTTAAAATATTTTTTTAAAGATTTTATTTATTTGTGAGAGAGAGAAAGCATGAGCAGGGGGACAGGCAGAAAGAGAGGGAGAAGCAGACTCCCTGCTGAGCAGGAAGCCCAACATGGGGCTTGATCCCAGGACTCCTGGATCATGATCTGAGACAAAGGCAGACACTTAACTAATGGACTGAGCCACCCAGGCTCCTGTAGTAGTGTTAAAATATTTAAGAACATCTTAGAATCAAGAAAAGAAAGTTTAACAAAATATTTGACTTTGTTTCCTTACTTACTTTTATTCCATTTTTGTTGTGGACTATTCATGGATATCCATATTTTATAGAATCTTTACTTGAGTTCTTTGTGAACTCACCCTGTTTTTCAACTTTGTGTAAATAGTAGACCTAAAAAGCACTGATTCTATTTGTCTTAAAGAATCGGTCACACCTAGACATACTTCACTCTTAAATTTACTACATAATCAGGGTATTGCAAAAGAATTGGAAAATGTGCCTCAGGCAGACCTAATGAGAAGTTATTAGAAATCAGTTCTATTAATAATGTTCCTTTTTATGCTGAAATACAAGATAAGCCTCATTTATTACCTCTTCTGTATCTGAAATGAATACATTTTTTTACTATATAGCTCTAGCTAAATCAAACTGATTTTGGTTGAATATAAAACAAGACTGTTGAACATGGTATTCCACTAGGTATCCCACTAGTGTTACATTTGACACTTCAAAAGTAGATGTTTTGGGGCTCCTGGGTGGGAGCCCAGGAGTGGGTTAAGCCTGGGCCTTCAGCTCTGGTCATGATTTCAGGGTCCTGGGATCGAGGCCCGCGCCAGGCTCTCTGCTCAGCAGGGAGCCTGCTTCCTCTTCCCCCTCTGCCTGTCTCTCTGCCTACTTGTGATCTCTGTCAAATAAATAAATAAAATCTTAAAAAAAAATGTTTTTATGTAAAGGAGCATTTTTTCATGGATTTAATAGTAATGTTAATCTCTTTCTACAGTGTCGCTCTGTGTCCATAGACGAAACCTCTTGCTGTTAATTGCCATTTTTCAGTGCTTTATGTGTTGAGAATTCTGATAACTGAAATAGGCTCAGAAGAAGCAAGGTTCTCACTCTCAATCCAAGGGCAACACTGTTCTATTAGCTGTCAACAACAAGAGAATTAAAGAGATTAAAATTCCTTCAGAAAATGTTTTCTGAGGTCTAAGTGCCAGATGATAATATCAGTCCAAAAATAGTCTTAATGATGTTACCAGCTTTCATTATTCTGCATTGCTCCATTTATGCTTGAAATCACTTAGATTTAAAATTGTATCGTGGGGCATCTGGGTGGCTCAGTCTGTTAAGCATCTGCCTTCTGCTCAGATCATGATCCCAAAGTGCTGAGATCGAGCCCCGCGTTGGGGTCCCTGCTCATTGCTTCTCCCTCTCCCTCTGCCCTTACCCCTGTTTTTGCCTTCTCTTTCTTTCTCTCAAATTAAAAAAAAAAAAATCTTTTACATAAATAAATAATTGTATCTCAAGTATCGTAGAGCAAATAAAAGAATCTATATCTTATAATAATTATATTGTTAAACAGGAGATTGAGTTTAATTTTTTGAAGTCAGAAGTCATTGTGCTTAGGTGCTTTCATTTTTCATATCCTGATTACTTTGAGCTTTTATTTCTAAGGGTTAATATTGAGTAAATAGTAGTAGTGAATGAAAAGGAGATATTTTTTACTTTCACTAGAAAATTTGAAAGCAAATCGTCTAGGCTATTCAGTTGTGTGCTAATTTAAGTCCTCATTCTGATGTCTTTGAGTAGCACTGCAGTATACTCTCTTGTCTCAGAGTTTTATTCTGAAACATTTTGCTGGCACATTGGAACATAAATAGTTCAAATGTGACTTGAATTCCTGGTTCTTGAATATTTCTTCACTTGATAAACTCTACTTTTAGGATGTAGTTATTTATTTTAGGAGACAATTATTTTTGCCAAGTATTTTGGTCAAGTATTAGGGGTGATTTCAAAACTAAGTGGAGGAAAAGAAAAGTTAAATGTCAGTGGAAGAATCTTCTTTATGGTGTTAATTTAATAACAAAAATAGTTTATATTTTTAAGCTTTTTTCTTCTTGATGTTCTACAGGATTTTCCTAAGCCCAGTGAAGAGAAGATCAAATTGATTCTCAGTCAAAGTGCCTGGACTTCTCAATCCAATTCTTTGGCCTCTTGCTTGTCTAGACTTTCTGGAAAATCTGAAACTGGGAAAACTGGTCTTATTAATCTAGGAAATACATGTTATATGAACAGTGTTATACAAGCATTGTTTATGGCTACAGAGTAAGTTTAAATTTGAACCTTTTTTGTTAATTGTAGAAATTGATGCGTACTGATGAAATGTAAGGTGATGGGATTGTCTTGACATTATTTCTTATAAATGTCAGAAATATTAATATTTGTATATAATTGCCTTATTTAGAAATGTAATTGCTGTCAGTGCTCAGGAGCTATTAAAATGTTAACTTATATAAATTCTGCTCTATATTTATATTGTGTATTGCATTGAGACTCTTTTGATTATTCTGGCTGGATATTTATTAGTATAACAGAAAGATTAAGTGGGCTTATTCCAAAGAGTTTAAGTGTCCTCAAGTACTAATTTATTATTATCCTATAAGACAGTGTATTTTTTTAGCCTATATATCTTTTAAGGGAGTTACATTTATTTTTTTCTGCTTATAGCTATTTTGCTGTTTATCAGATTGATAACTTCTCTGTTACTGTGAAAGAAGCATAAGCTGTTTCCCTCCACAAGTTGTAGATACTGAACAAATATGTAAACATTTATGTTCCTTTGTCCTCTTACAGATTTGCTTTCAAATTAATTTTTTTTTTTTTTGCAGCCGAACAAATATGAAATCAGAGGTTGTTAGCTACTTGAGTGCTATATGTAAAAGTAAAAAATAATGATAAACTTTTCCTAAAGACAAAAATATGGTTGGATTTTTCTCTTCATTGTCAGTAGAGTATTTATGGAACTTGACCAATGGTCTTTACAAATTGAGTTCCATGCCTTTGTAAGTTTTTATGCCTACCTAGAGGAATCATAAACTAAAAGATGAATTCTTAGGTTTAGTTTATTTTCTGGTCCCAGAATCTGCTATAACACTAAGGTGTTTTTTTGTTTGGCTCAGTGTTTTATTTTATTTGTTTGTATTTGAGATTTTTAATTTTAAAATGTGTACACTCAGACACAAGTGATACTAAGCATAAAACTAAATTCAAATCTGTATCTCACCACCAGATGTCATCTAGTCCAGCCAGATGATGGTGAAAGGAGAGACCCAAAGCAAGTGTAACTGGCAACAGCAATTCAAAGAGCCATCTTATTGAATAAGCCAATTATACTATCTAAAAATAGGCATATAACATATTGTATTTCTTTGGTAATAGGTGAATTCTTTGTGGTTTAAAAAAATAAATTTAGAAGTATATAAAATAAAAATCAGGTATAAAAAAATTTTTTTAATCAGACATCCCCATTCACAAGAGTAATTGGTTAACAGTTTTGTGTGCATTGTTTCAGATCAGTTTTTTTACAGTTACAAGATTTTATTTACAAGAACAAATGCATTGTTTTTAAAAAATATTTATAATCTTATTTATATGGTTTTTTTCTAGCACTTTTATCTTTTAATGATTCATGTTGGCAGTATTCCCATGATAGAGTAATGACAGAACTGTCATTCTGAATAAATAGATGTACTATATTTTATGTAAGCATACTCCAGTTGATGAACAGTAGGTTGCTTTGCTCATAATTAACATCTCTCTGCCCATATGCAGATGTAGAGGATTTGCTTTGAATAGGTATGCCAGTTGCTCTCCAGAAAGACTGTAGCATTTGAATTTACATACTAATATATAATAATACCTGTGACCCCATTCCTTTAGTGGTACTTGATATAGTTAGTATTTGAGATTTTTTTCTAATTGGGGGAAAAATGTCTTTTTGCTTTAATTTGTAATATTACTGACCATTACAGAGTTTTCTGTCTATATTTTTCTTTGTTTATTTGTGTTTGTTTTCTGAATAACCCGTTCTTTCTTTTGTGCACCTTTCTATTGGGTCTTTTTCTTTTTCATTCTGATTTATATATACTCTGGATGATAATCCTTTACAACATGCTCCCTTCCCATCGGTGTGATTCAGATTTATAGAGTGTTTCATTTGTAATTTGTAATTTTTTTTTAAAGATTTTATTTATTTATTTGACAGAGAGATCACAAGTAGGCAGAGAGGCAGGCTGAGAGAGAGGGGGAAACAGGCTTTCTGCTGATCAGAGAGCCCGATGCGGGGCTCGATCTCAGGACCCTGAGAACATGACCTGAACCGAAGGCAGAGGCTTAACCCACTAAGCCACCCAGGCACCCCATAATTTTTTATTTTATGTGATGAAATCTGCTATTTCTCATTTATAGTGTCTGAATTGTAGGAAGGCTTCTCCCTCGACATTTTCCCCATTTTTTTTTCTTTTAAATACTTCAATAGTTTTCTTTCTTTTTTTTTTTTTTGATTTTTTAATTTTTTATTTCTTTTCAGCATAACAGTATTCATTGTTTTTGCACCGCACCCAGTGCTCCATGCAATCCGTGCCCTCTCTAATACCCACCACCTGGTTCCCCCAACCTCCCACCCCCCACCCCTTCAAAACCCTCAGATTGTTTTTCAGAGTCCATAGTCTCTCATGGTTCACCTCCCCTTCCAATTTCCCTCAACGCCCTTCTCCTCTCCATCTCCCCTTGTCCTCCATGCTATTTGTTATGCTCCACAAATAAGTGAAACCATATGATAATTGACTCTCTCTGCTTGACTTATTTCACTCAGCATAATCTCTTCCAGTCCCGTCCATGTTGCTACAAAAGTTGGGTATTCATCCTTTCTGATGGAGGCATAATACTCCATAGCGTATATGGACCACATCTTCCTTATCCATTCGTCCGTTGAAGGGCATCTTGGTTCTTTCCACAGTTTGGCAACCGTGGCCATGGCTGCTATAAACATTGGGGTACAGATGGCCCTTCTTTTCACTACATCTGTATCTTTGGGGTAAATACCCAGTAGTGCAATGGCAGGGTCATAGGGAAGCTCTATTTTTAATTTCTTGAGGAATCTCCACACTGTTTTCCAAAGTGGCTGCACCAACTTGCATTCCCACCAACAGTGTAAGAGGGTTCCCCTTTCTCCACATCCTCTCCAACACACGTTGTTTCCTGTCTTGCTAATTTTGGCCATTCTAACTGGTATAAGGTGGTATCTCAATGTGGTTTTAATTTGAATCTCCCTGATGGCTAGTGATGATGAACATTTTTTCATGTGTCTGATAGCCATTTGTATGTCTTCATTGGAGAAGTGTCTGTTCATATCTTCTGCCCATTTTTTGACATGATTATCTGTTTTGTGTGTGTTGAGTTTGAGGAGTTCTTTATAGATCCTGGATATCAACCTTTTGTCTGTACTGTCATTTGCAAATATCTTCTCCCATCCCGTGGGTTGCCTCTTTGTTTTGTTGACTGTTTCCTTTGCTGTGCAGAAGCTTTTGATCTTGATGAAGTCCCAAAAATTCATCTTCGCTTTTGTTTCCTTTGCCTTTGGAGACATATCTTGAAAGAACTTGCTGTGGCTGATATCGAAGAGGTTACTGCCTATGTTCTCCTCTTGGATTCTGATGGATTCTTGTCTCACGTTGAGGTCTTTTATCCATTTTGAGTTTATCTTTGTGTATGGTGTAAGAGTGGTTGAGTTTCATTCTTCTACATGTAGCTGTCCAATTTTCCCAGCACCATTTATTGAAGAGACTGTCTTTTTTCCATTGTATATTTTTTCCTGTTTTGTCGAAGATTATTTGACCGTAGAGTTGAGGGTCCATATCTGGGCTCTCTACTCTGTTCCACTGGTCTATGTGTCTGTTTTTATGCCAGTACCATGCTGTCTTGGTGATCACGGCTTTGTAGTAAAGCTTGAAATCAGGTAACGTGATGCCCCCAGTTTTATTTTTGTTTTTCAACATTTCCTTAGCAATTCGGGGTCTCTTCTGATTCCATACAAATTTTAGGATTATTTGCTCCAGCTCTTTGAAAAATAACCAGTGGAATTTTGATCGGAATGGCATTAAAAGTATAGATTGCTCTAGGCAGTATAGACATTTTAACAATGTTTATTCTTCCAATCCAAGAGCATGGAATGGTCTTCCATCTTTTTGTGTCTTCTTCAATTTCTTTCATGAGTGTTCTGTAATTCCACGAGTACAGTTCCTTTACCTCTTTAGTTAGTTTTATTTCCAGGTATCTTATGGTTCTTGGTGCTATAGTAAATGGAATCGATTCTCTAATCCCCCCCCCTTTTTTTTTAAAGATTTTATTTATTTATTTGACAGACAGAGATCACAGTAGGCAGAGAGGCAGGCAGAGAGAGATGGAGGAAGCAGGCTCCCTGCTGAGCAGAGAGCCCGATGTGGGGCTTGATCCCAGGACTCTGGAATCATGACCTGAGCTGAAGGCAGAGGCTTTAACCCACTGAGCCACCCAGGCGCCCCTCTAATTTCCCTTTCTGTATCTTCATTGTTAGTGTATAAGAAAGCCACTGATTTCTGTACATTGACTTTGTATCCTGCCACGTTGTTGAATTGTTGTATGAGTTCTAGTATTTTGGGGGTGGAGTCTTTTGGGTTTTCCATATAAAGAATCATGTCATCTGCGAAGAGAGAGAGTTTGACTTCTTCCTTGCCAATTTGGATACCTTTTATTTCTCTTTGTTGTCTGATTGCTGTTGCTAGGACTTCTAATACTATGTTGAACAAGAGTGGTGAGAGTGGGCATCCTTGTCGTGTTCCTGATCTCAACGGGAAGGCTGCAAGCTTTTTCCCATTGAGGATGATATTTGCTGTCTTTCATAGATAGATTTTATCAAGTTCAGGAATGTTCCCTCTATCCCTATACTTTGAAGCGTTTTAATCAGGAATGGATGCTGGATTTTGTCAAATGCTTTTTCTGCATCAATTGAGAGGACCATGTGGTTCTTCTCTCTTCTCCTATTGATTTGTTCTGTCACATTGATTGATTTGCGAATGTTGAACCATCCTTGTAGCCCTGGGATGATTCCCACCTGGTCATGGTGGATAATCTTTTTAATGTGCTGTTGGATCCTGTTTGCTAGGATCTCTTCAATAGTTTTCTTATTTTACATTAGCTCATTACTCCTGTGTGGCATTTGTAATAATTTAAAATTTTATTTAATTCCATTTTTTTCCAAATGGATATCGAATTGTTCCTATTCTCTTGTTTGAATAATTTATCCTTTTCCCATCCTGTACTTGTACCACAGTCTATAAATCACTCTAAAGTTATAGTTTGTTGACAATGTATTTTATTTCATGCAGGTGTATGAAAGAATTTAAAAGTTGCTTATTTAAGTTATTAATTAATAGCTTAATCCATTTCTGTTTGCTAATCCAGAAAATAGTAATAATATGTGACAGCACATAGGCCATTGTCTGGTTCCATAGCAACTGTTTTATCATCATTCTTCCTTTCCTTCTTCACAACATTATAAGTAGTAACTCTGCTAGGTAAAGTGCCATTCAATGAGTGATGTTTTACTTTGAAGATAATAAGTTCTGGAACTAATTTCCTTTTAGCTTTTAAAAAATGTGTGTGTATATGCATGTACATGTATACAAGAATCACTGTTTTATTCTCTGTCAGTTTCAGGAGACAAGTATTATCTTTAAATCTAAATGGGTGCAATTCATTAATGAAAAAATTACAGCATCTCTTTGCCTTTTTGGCTCATACACAGGTGAGTGTAAGTGTGTGTAGTATGTATATGTTAACTTCATTGATAATATTCTTTAAACTTCACATTATACCAAACTTGATGAATCTTGTTTAAATAATATGTATTTGACACAGCATAACAAATCCACTTAGATGTACTAGACATCCTGCCTAAAATCAGGATATGCTTTGAGTTTTTATTTCTTCCTCCTGTTTTCCATTCTTGTAGATGAATATTATGCTGACCCTTTCTTCTAATTATTATAGATAAAATCTGATTTCTTCTCTAATAAATAAGCCTCTTCATGAAGAAGAAAGAAACTCTAATAGTTTATAGATACTAAATTGATAGATTTTTCATAATAATAAATAAAATAATTTTGTGGCACATTGGCTTCTTTTTTCTCCTATTTCTAATATCTGTACCTTCTCATTCTCATTATGACCAAAATTTTAAGCTCTAGAGCCTAACGGGTAAACAACTTTATCCATTAAGTTCTAAAGCTTAAGATTTAAGATGATCTTTTATGTCCACAATTAATCCAAGGAAATGAATTTATGCTACTGGCAAGAAAGTCACATATAGTAAACATTCATTCAAAAGACTTTTATTGATGGACATTGGGGGAGGATATGTGCTGTGATGAACACTGTGAATTGTGTAAGACCGATGAATCACAGACCTGTACCTCTGAAACAAATAATACATTATATGTTAATTAATTACTTAAATAAATAAATAAAAGACATTTATTGAGAGACAATATGGAGTCTGGTAAGCATTCAAAGGGGAAGGCAATCCTTATGCTCAAGGAACTCAAGTTTTGAGCACTACATATGAACAATATATATATCATTTATAAATAATGTATACTCTTTTTTTCTGGTTTTACTCTGATTGTCTTACTTTTACTCTGTCTTACTCCTATAAAAGGAGTAGGTGGGAGAATCAGAAGAGAAGATCGCTTTAGTGGGATTGAGTTGATAAGAATGCCTTGTTTCCTATCTATAAGCTGTGAAATAGCTCAAGTATAACTTCTTAAATGGAAAAAATTAACTTTTGAGTGATGGCCTATAAGTAGTAGTATACTCAAATAATTTTATTGTTCTCTTTCTGAGGAAAATCTGTTCACAAATTAAATTTAACATCTCAGGACCAAGGGAGATGAAATCTCTTCCCTCCAATTGTCAAACATTATTTTCCTAGTAAATTGATTTCTGTACTTGCTTTATCACTAGTCTGTATTTACCATATATTATATAAAATGTATATATATCTATGTGTGTATAGGTAGCTATAAATACATTATATATACTATATTACCTTTCTGAATCAGAGCTGTTAGAAAAAAAACTATAGGAGGGTTCCATGCTCCCAAGGAAAAGAAAACAGGAATTCACCAGAGAACCTAATGAAAGTTTTGTCATAGTTGAGACCTTGTCTGATAGCAAGCCAACAAGAATTTTTTTGGATTGATAGATTTCCCTATATGATTGAAAAGCCTTTATTTCTTATAACTGAGGAAGCTAACATTTATTAAGCATTTAAATTTGCCTAGCTTCTATCCTAAGTAGTTTACATGTATTATTTCTTAATCCTCAGAAACAATCTGTGAAGTAATAAGATAGTATCCCCATTTTACAGATGAAAAAACTGGGTTTATATTACCTGCTTTTCAGGGTCGTGCAGACAAGTGGCAAATTGGGGTATGATATGAACCAAATGACTGTAGAACTCATGCTCAACTAGTATGTTAAAGTTCCTTCCTTCAGAATACTATCAACACCCCATTTTGATAAAAAATTTTTTGAACTGAGGACTCTGTTACATTCCACAAATATTCAAAATGCCAGAATTCTAAGTTTTCAGGTTTAAATCACATCTTTTCAGATGCCTTTTCAGTTACTTTTTGTTGTTGCAAAATCTAGGATTTGAACCAAGATTGCTTCAAAGTCAATGAGCAACCCACTTCACTAAACCTCCCCCACACCAAAAAAGATCAGCAAGGACCCTAAACAGTATACTTACATTCTGTGCATTTATGAAATGTGTACCTAGTCAAAGAAATTTTCACCTAAAGTAGATATGTGTGGCCCTATATGGTACTCCCCTTATTATTTTATCCAAAATATGTATTCATTAGCATGTCTTTTTCAGATTTGGTTTTACAAAAAATTTGGATGCAAGCATATGACTGTCATAGAGAGATAATGCCAGTAGCATATTAAGTGTTTGAGAGACCTGGGTTCCCTCTGGCACTATTTTAACTGTAAAACTTTGTGCAAGTCATATGTTTCTCTAGATATTAATTCTTATCTGCAGAATGAGAAGTTATAACTGAAGATTACATAATTTATTTCTAATTTTATCTGTCCCCATTTCTGGGTCTTTGTAGTAGTGTTAAGTGCAATATAATTTTAATTGATCTTTATTAAACATTGTATATTAAGACTTTAGTTATTTGACTCATGGTATGAGAATCACTTCCTTGTATTTTCTCTGTTGATATCAAGAGAGAAGCATATGCACCTCGGGTATTCTTTGAGGCTTCTAGACCTCCATGGTTTACCCCCAGATCACAACAAGACTGTTCTGAATACCTCAGGTTTCTGCTAGACAGGTAAAAAGTATTTGAAAGTTATGATTTGAATTGTTTTCTTTCATAACAGATTATTTCTGTGGCATATTGTTTTTGCCTTTAAAAACGTATTTCAGATGTTAATCTTTAAAATACCTTGCATTTACTGTATATATTTAAGTGTTCTTTTGTTTTTAATTTGGTTTCTTTTTTTGATTTTCTTACTTTGGACCAGCTGTTCTTAGAGTGTGGTACAAAGACCCCCTATGGGTTCCAAAAACATTCTCAGGGGTCTTCCCTTTTCTAACTATATATCTGTGTATATGTAATTGAGCCAGATTTTCTTCATATGTTTCACCCAGAGCAACATATCACAATAGATTAAATGCAGAGCAGCTCTGAGGATCCAGCTGTCTTCTATTAAGCCAGATACTTGAAATATTTGCAAAATGTAAAACAATGCCATTCTTCTCACTAAATTTTGTGGTTTTAGAAAATATAACTTTTTCATAATGAATATTAACACATAATGGGTTTATTATTTTCAAATGTATTATTTTATTACTTTTTTATTCTCAGTTTTTGAATACAGTAAATATTGATGGGCATAACCACATGAATGAAAGCTGTTGGGTTCCTCAATTTTCCTCAGTTACTTTCTAAGAGTATAAAGGGATCTGGAGACCAAAAATTTAATAGTTGCTCCTTTAGATCAGTGCATAATTAGATGAGTTTGGTGTATTTTGTTGTATCCTTACCACTTAGTTAATAAAACCTCTATCTTCTTCTCCAGATCATTGCCTCCCTTCTATTACATGAATGACTAGTAAAGTTAGTTGAACTTAACATGTGCAATCAGCTAAGGACATGTTGAGTGGTTTCTTTGTACCAGGCTTTCTATGAGATGTCAGGCAGACAAAGATATAGAAGATAATTAGTGGACATATATCATTTACTATCATGTAATAAGTGCTATAAAATAGCAGTATGAAAAAGAATGAGACTATAAGGTAGTGATAGCCCCTAACTTCTAATCTACATTCTCAAATTGTTCAGTATTCTTCTTGATTAAAAGAGGAAAAACTTGATTTTTTAAGTTAAGTATTATATTTGATAAAAAATAATTTGTCTATTTATATAAGCCACCAATTTTTTTAAAAGATTTTATTTTATTTATTTATTTGACGGACAGAGATCACAAGAAGGTAGAGAGGCAGGCGGGGGGTGGGGAGAGGGGGGAAAGCAGGCTCCACACCAAGCAAAGAGCCCGATGAGGGGCTCAATCCCAGGACCCTGAGACCATGACCTGAGCTGAGGCAGAGGTTTAACCCACTGACCACCCAGGCACCCCTAAGCCACCAATATTTTTAAATAGCAATATGAAACATAAGTGAAGCAGCAATATAATTATATATATTCTCCTGCAGGCTACATGAAGAGGAAAAGATCTTGAAAGTTCAGTCCTCATACAAGCCATCTGAAAGTCTGGGGTGCAATGAAACTTCTTTACAGGAAGTAGCCAGTAAGGCAGCTGTACTAGCAGAGAGCCCTTGCACAAGTGATGGTGAGAAGACTTTAATAGAAAAAATGTTTGGAGGAAAACTACGAACTCACATATGTTGTTTGAACTGCAGGAGTACCTCACAAAAAGTGGAAGCCTTTACCGATCTTTCACTGGCCTTTTGTCCTTCCTCTTCTGTCGAAAACTTGTCTTTTCAAGATCCAGCATCATCACCCAGTACACAAGATGGTGGCCTAATGCAAGCCAGTGTACCTGGTCCTTCAGAAGAACCAGGAGTTTATAATCCAGCAACAGCTGCCTTTGTTTGTGACTCAGCTATGAATGAAAGAATGTTAGGCAGTCCTTCTGATGAGTTTTGCTGTACTGAAAACGCTTGTGTCCCCAGTGAATCTAGCACAATTCTTGTTAATAAAGATGTACCTCAGAAACCAGGAGGTGGAAGCACACCTTCAGTAACTGACTTACTAAATTATTTTTTGGCTCCAGAGATTCTTACTGGTGACAACCAGTATTATTGTGAAAACTGTGCCTCTTTGCAGAATGCTGAGAAAACTATGCAAATCACAGAGGAGCCTGAGTACCTTATTCTTACTCTCCTGAGATTTTCATATGATCAAAAGTATCATGTGAGAAGAAAGATTTTAGACAACGTGTCACTGCCACTGGTTTTGGAGTTGCCAGTTAAAAGAACTACTTCTTTCTCTTCCTTGTCAGAAAGTTGGTCTATAGATGTTGACTTCACTGATATTAGTGAGAACCTAGCTAAAAAATTAAAGCCTTCTGGAACTGAAGAAACTTGCTGCTCCAGATTGGTGCCGTATCTATTAAGTTCTGTTGTTGTTCACTCTGGTATATCCTCTGAAAGTGGGCATTACTATTCTTATGCCAGAAACATCACAGGTACAGAGTCCTCATACCAGATGTGCCATCAGTCTGAAACTCTGGCGTTAGCATCCTCCCAGAGTCATTTCCTAGAGAGAAATAGCCCCAGTGCAGTTATTGAACAGGATTTAGAGAATAAGGAAATGTCAAAAGAATGGTTTTTATTTAATGACAGCAGAGTGACATTTACTTCATTTCAGTCAGTTCAGAAAATTACGAGTAGGTTTCCAAAGGACACAGCTTATGTGCTTTTGTATAAAAAACAGAATAGCACTAATGGTTTAAGTGGTAACAGTTCAACCAGTGGACTCTGGGTAAATGGAGACCCACCTCTACAGAAAGAACTTATGGATGCTATAACAAAAGACAATAAACTATATTTACAGGTAAGTTGGATATAGAAACTTAATCTGTGGAAAATATTTAAACAATTGGTTTAACAGTGGTTAAATGAGTACCCTAATTTTGAAATCCAACTTCTGCATTTTCAAGGAATTTACAGTGGCAATTCTGAAATTTGGGTCTGGGTTTATATAGAAATCAGCCTATATAAATTATCTTACTTTCTAATGTTATGAATTAGCTATGAAAAGTTGCAGTTAGATGCAGTTTAAAAGACCTCACTTGTTTTTAATTACAAAAGATGTGATCATTATACAGTCATTCAGTACAGAAATACAGGAAGCTTAGTAAAATGGCAGTATCTTCCCTCTCCTCTTTAATCCCACCTACCAGGGGAAACAGCTGCTGAATCTGGTGTTTATTTCATTCTACACTATTTGACAGGTATTTTAAGGGCACTTATTAACATTCAGGTGGATAAGATAAAGCACACTGAAAGGATAGAATATTTAAAAAAAACAAAAACAAAAACACATAATTGTGTTCTTTAAGGACCTGAGCAATAAAACCAGAGAGCTAATAGTACAATTACTAAATAAAAGCCATGGAACAAAGGTTTCATATGACCTGAATTTACTTACAACTACAGTTTTTGCAAGGAGTTAGTGATTTTATTATTTAAAAGTTAATAAAGATCTTGGCAGCAAGTATTTTTCTCTGAAACCTGCTAACTTGCTAATAGCATAAGGACTAACACTAAATTATCAGTGAAATTGTAGGTGTATTAACTGCGTAGTTCAAGTGATTTTATGACTTTTATTCTAAAAATTTGGTGTTTGAAAATCACAAAGCTGTAAAATACAGATTAAGAGAAGAAATGGGTCATTAGAGTACTGATTTTTAGAACTAGATTTTTAGTACTGATTTTTCTCAAAAATTTTCAAATTTGCCATGTTATAAAATACTCAAATAATGATACATGATACATTATTAGTTTGGCAATGTCCTGGAGTAACAGAAAAAATTTATATTTTACAGAAAAAAATTAGAAACAATATTAAGCCTGATTCACCACCAAAAATTCTAACATCCAGTCAGAAGGCTTATGGTCAAGTTAACAGGATATATTCAATCATATCCTTCTTGCTAGATATTACATAAGCACCAGATATTAATCATCATGATTCTTGGAGATTAGAAGGAGGAGTAAGGGCAAGAGGGTTAGGTTGAAATAGAAATTTTCTGTGATATAAGATACAGAAAATAAGGCCCAGTATAATCTTGACTTGTGGAAGTATGAAGATTATATATCAATGATTGGGTAAAATAGTATCTTTATCCAAGGATAGAGACATAGATTTTTAAAAGATGAGGAACCTACTACTCTCTTTCTGTGATTGGATTGCCAAAAGCTCTTGTAACCATAACTATTTCATTATAGCCTACCTCCAAATGATTTTCTCTGTCTTAACTATTTCCCCCATTACAGTATTTACAATATCTGGGTGTGATAAGCCATTCTTTTCATTATTGTTTAAGGCCCATTGTCACTATAAAGGAAAGCATTATGTACTTTATTAATTCAGTTTTTCAGTGTCTGCAGTTGTTCTAAATTCCGTCTGAAGTCTTAGATTGGCAAGTTAATGTAATTTAAAAGATACTGCCAAATTTTATTTTTTTATTTCTTTTTCTGTTTCCTTTTTGCTTTATTTTTTTTCAACTGATTTATTTTATTTTATTTTTCAGTGTTCAAGAGTCATTGTTTATGCACCACACCCAGTGCTCCATGCAATAAGTGCCCTCCTTAATACCTTCCACCAGGCTCACCTAACCCCCCATCCCCCTCCCCTCCAAAACCCTCAGTTTGTTTCTCAGCATCCACAGTCTCTCATGGTTTGTCTCCCCCTCCGATTTCCCCCAACTCACTTCTCCTCTCCTCCCAATGTCTCCCGTGTTATTCCTTATGCTCCATGAGTAAGTGAAACCATATAATTGACTCTCTCTGCTTGACTTAACTTCATTCAGCATAATCTCCTCCAGTCCCATCCATGTGATACAAAAGTTGGGTATTCATCCTTTCTGATGAAGGCATAATATTCCATTGTATATATGGACCATATCTTCTTTCATCCATTGAAGTGCATCTTAGTTCTTTCCACAGTTTGGCAACTCTGGCCATTGCTGCTGTGAACATTGGGGTACAGATGGCCCTTCTTTTCACTACATCAGTATCTTTGGAGTAAATACCCAGGAGTGCAATTGTAGGGTTATAGGGTAGCTCTATTTTTAATTTCTTAAGGAATCTCCACACTGTTTTCCAAAGTGGGTGCACCAATTTGCATTCCCACCAACAGTGTAAGAGGGTTCCCCTTTCTCTACATCCTCTCCAGCACTTGTTGTTTACTGTCTTGTTGATTTTGGCCATTCTAACTGGTGCAAGGTGGTATATCAATGTAGTTTTGATTTGAATCTCCCTGATGGCTAATGATGATGAACATTTTTTCTGTCTGTTAGCCATTTGTATGTCTTTTTTGGAGAAGTGTCTGTTCATGTCTTCTGCCCATTGTTTGATGTGATTATCTGTTTTGTATGTATTGAGTTTGAGGAGTTCTTTATAGATCTTGGATATCAGCCCTTTTGTCTGTAGTGTCATTTGTGAATATCTTCTCCTATTCCATGGGTTGCTTCTTTGTTTTGTTGACTCTTTCTTTGCTGTGCAGAAGCTTTTGATCTTGGTGAAGTCCCAAAAGTTCATTTTTGCTTTTGTTTCCTTTGCCTTTGGAGACATGTCTTAAAAGAAGTTGCTGTGGCCGATGTCGAAGAGGCTACTGCCTGTGTTCTCCTCTAGGATTTTGATAGATTCCTGCCTCACTTTGAGGTCTTTTATCCATTTTGAGTTTATCTTTGTATATGGTGTAAGAGAATGGTCGAATTTCATTCTTCTATACATAGCTGTCCAATTTTCCCAGCACCATTTATTGAAGAGACTGTCTTTTTTCCACTGGATATTTTTTCCTGCTTTGTCAAAGATTAGTTGACCATAGAGTTGCGGGTCCATATCTGGGCTCTCTACTCTGTTCTTCTGGTCTATGTGTCTGTTTACATTAAGATATTTATGATCCTGTATTAAGACAGACTCCTAAAGCTTATTATCAAACTACCTTTTTAAAGCGAATTATGATGATAAATACTCAACTCTTAAAAATTTAAATACATTTGTATTATTTACTTTTAAATACAATAATGTAATTGATTTATGATGAAATTTGAATTGTGATGGTTCGCATATTTAACTGAATCATTCTGGTATTTTAAGTTAGTATTAAGAGACTTTTTTTGAGTACGGAGCATATATTTTTTCTTATTTTCATTTTTTTATATTTTTGAGGCATAGTTCAAAATTTTTGCTCATTTCATAATAATAGTGCTTTAAAATAGATTGCTATGTCAAGAATACAACTTTGGTTTTAAGATACAGCTTTATACCTATTTATAAAACAATTGCAAAAAGTTAACTAAGTCTCAGTAAATGTAGAATGCAGAGTGAATATTTTGAGTTCCTTTGCTCTTGAGTAGTACTCCAAATGAATTTACCATCATAGTACATATCAAAGTAGCTACTTTCTTTTTTAATTCTTCATAATTACATTGGAAACGTATCTTGTATAATTTGGGGGGATTCTATTTTTAAATTTTACTAAAATCACATCTAGATTGACATGTGTTGGAGAAAAACTCTTGCTCTTTCTGGTGCTGATGAGACTAGTGAAAAGTGGGAAAAAATCCTATGTGACCAAATCATTTTCTGCTGTGTATCATACCTGACACATAGGAGAGCAGTATCATAACTATGTATCCTAGCCTGACACATAGCAGTGCAGATGGTGGATCTCAAAGTAAATTTTGGGAAGGGCTTTTTCTTCTTTTATTTCTTTCCCTCTGATCCAACTTGCATAAAGAGTGTCTCTATTATTTTAGTGTCTGCACTCCAAAAATTATGCTTTTAGTTAGGATCCAGTGAGAAAAATGTTGTGTGAGTAGCACCAGCATCACACTGTGAAGTGATATCACCACCTATCTCCACGTGTCCCGCGTCAACTACAGACAGACCTTCTGTCCTTTATTTTTGGTTTCTTTCCTTTGTTTCTTTGGAGGAAGTGGTAGTTTAGTGTCTTAATATTTTTCTTTATCATACATACAGAAGAGTATACATAATATATCTGTGTAGTTTGAAGAAAAATAAAAGATGGATTAATTTAATGTTAACATATTTACTTAAATGAGAGATCTAAATATTCTGCAAGTTATTTGTCCCAAAGCAACAGTAACTCCAGGCCTATAGTCCATTACTGAACTAAGAATTAATTTTAATACTTGATGTAAATTTGGAATATAAAATAAACACTATGAGAATCATAATTTTTAGCATTCTACACAATGCTCTCACTGTACTAAAAGAAGTAAAATGAGAAGCAGTTTTCCCTGCTTCAGTCCATTAAGCTTCTGAAAACAGGATATATACATTTTTCTCTGTCAGCCATATATTTATATAAGTATATAAAAAGCAAAAAAAGAATATTCCTTTTTTAGGAAGCTGTTTTGAAATACAATATAGTTCTCATGCATCTCAGAAGCAATGGGGTTAAATTTGTATTGTGTGTGTCCTTTAACACTGCTTCTCGGGGGGAATTACTTTGTAACAAAATTTGGCCTATCTTTTGGGAGCAGAACTTCTTGAACTCTACCTTGCATATTCAGTTTTATTTATTTCATTAGGGAACATGATCTATATCTGAAACCAGATCTTAGAGTCATTTTCATTGCTTGTTTGGATAGTTTAACAGGTTATAGAGCTAGAGCAATGAGGATTTTGTTTCTTATTTTTGTGTCTATTTCTTATATACATACCTATAGCTTTTATTTTCTATCAGTAATATTGAAAATTTTAGTTTCTATTTTGATTCTTTCTTTAATTCTACAGACTAAAAAATAGATTATGTCTTAAAAAACATTATACAAAGGAACCAGTACAGTAAATTAAAAAGTTTTTGAGAAGTATCTTACAAATTAAGTTTTAAAAGCCTCTCTAAATCCTCCCTGTGACTCGTTAATGAGGCCATTCTGTTACAAGAATTTCTTATCTAAGGTCACATAAATATAAATTATACATATAAGTACAAATAATATATATAATACATAACATATATAACATAAATATATATAAATTATAAATAATTTTATATAATTACATAATTATAACATATTTATATAATATATAAATATATAATTTATAAATATAAATTATAAATCTATAAATTCTATATTTATATTTATAAATCCTTAAAATATTTATAAATGAATTCTATAAATAAATAAAGTGTTCTAATCTGAGATCATTAATATTTATTGAACACCTAATATGTGTCTGGCACATAGACCAGTACAACTGGTTCCTCATAAAAATTCTGATAATCTGGTAGGGAAAATGTTATAAGTAATACTGTAAGGTTCCATTTTCCTTAGCAATGTTATTGAAATTCTACCTTTATTTACTGAGAAATATTCTAAGGAAAGGGTAGTTAACATTCAGCCTTCTTTCATTATTTATACTTCTTACTGTATCACCCACATACAAAATAGCCCCACTTGATAAAGAGTAGATAATCCTTTGTCATAACCTTTAAATATCTACATTCTGTGTATTAGAAAGGAAATCTGTTCCTATGTGTATTGTTGAGTATTTACGAGAACTATAGTACTCCTGTAGAGGAATTTTAGGATGTGGGGCTTCAGTTTTCTCTTCTGCAGACTGAAGTACTGAAACCGAACAGGCCATAGGGTTTGTCATTCTGTAGAGTTACACCAGGATTTTGTTCTCTGTCTTACTTGTTCCATCTGTGATTATGTACCTAGTAATATTTGGTAAGGATTACTATAGTCAATATTTTTTAAATTACTGAGATTGATGGATGCTTATTAAGAATTAAGTCAGTTTTAAAATATTTATACATCCATTGTATTTAGGGTTTTAATTTTATAAAAATTATTTTTAATTTTAGGAACAAGAGTTGAATGCTCGAGCCCGGGCCTTACAAGCTGCATCTGCCTCCTGTTCATTTCGGCCCAATGGATTTGATGACAATGACCCACCAGGAAGCTGTGGACCAACTGGTGGAGGGGGTGGAGGAGGATTTAATACAGTTGGCAGACTCGTATTTTGATCCTGAGAGAATCCAAAATGCACTGGTCACAAAACATCTAATACTATGACTGTTAACAAATATCATACCTATCTTTTATTTTTCTTTTCATTAGACCCTTATACTTTAAGAAAACACACTCAGTGCTTGTTTTGATTTTCTTGACAATACCTTTATTAACAAGTGCATCATGGGAAAAGAAAATCTACCTCTTAAAATTCCATTTTGCTTTCATGGTTAGACATGCTTGACCAAAAATTTTCAGAGGAAAATATGTACCCGGTCCCTAATTAAGCTGCATTAAATTTAGCAGAGGCATTTAAATGGTCTCATTCTCAGTTGTACTTAACAAAAAAAAATGATTCATTTAGCATCTTTTATAAAAGAATTGATGCTACAAATAATGGAAATATTGTTTAAAAAGAAAGAAAAAATCCTTTATTTCATGCATAGTACCCCATTATTCAAATCTTTTAAAATGCTAAAGATAATACAGTCTCTAATGAAGGCAATAACATAAAATTTATCAAGCTATAGTACTTTTCAGGTTTTTGTTTAGTGCTGTCTTCAGCATCACTGTATCTGCATTTCAAGTATAAATGTTTTCAAAAAGGATTATTTATACATATATGCTGAACTGATTTTAAGAAAGGTGCATGATCCTGTAGGAACAACATTTTTACCTAAAAATTGCTAACTTTGTAGTATTTCTAATTGTTTAAGGATTTTTAAATTCTATTTCAGGGAGTATATCTTCTGTGTGTTTTGAAGACGGTGAGTTCTGTATGTGCCTTGCAGTACTGTAATTAAAAAATAGGAATCTTTGGCTGCAGAAAAGTTTTTAAAAATGAAATGTTAGAAAGTAATTTTTTGTGCTAACATTAAAATTATAACTTTTTGAAAGATATTAGATATTCCTGAAGTAAAATCTGATGGTTCTAAATCAATAAGTATGATAGATTATTTTTAAATTATAGAAGAATTCAGAGGGAATGAACCTAAGCAAGTAAAAAAATCTTTTGATTTTGTTACTTAATCCTCTGATTATTAAACATCAATTGCATATTCTTAGAGTTGGACATTTGGGATTTTTTTTCATTTGAATCTTGTGCTTTGCACAGTTGTTTCTATTTCATAGTTTCATATAAAATGTTGAAATGTAAGACCCTACCATCCCACATTTTCTTTTACCAGAGAGTGAAAAACAAGTCAGTTCTCCTGGGTCTTGATTATATGTATTCTATAGTTATCTCAGTTTTCCCTTTCCCTAAAACTTTTAACTTATCCATGGTTGTACATTGTTCTAAAATCTGTCTCATATTTATTTTGAAAACACTTAAAGGAAAGGGTGTTCTTTGGTGATTTTGGAGTTTATCTTTTTCCCAACCTTTTAACAGTAGTAGTTAAAAACAGAATTCCCCATCTTCATTCCACTCCTAACTTGTTTCCAGTCACCAGGAAAATTAGGAAAACTGATTGGATTAGAACTGGAAATTCTTTGCGAATTGATTGAGATTTGTCTTTTCTATAAATGAATGAAACACAAATTTTTATCACACTGTCTTTTCCCATGTGCTTCCTCTTGTCTTAATAGTGTATTCCTGAGATACTCTATGTGTTCAGTTATCCACTGGCTAATTAATGATTTATTATCAGATTATATCAGTGTTAGCATTTACTGAAATTGGTAAAGTTATTTAATACTTGGTACATTCATATTGGGCTCAGCTGCTCCTGGGAACTTTCTTAAAGACAGACCTACACGTGGTTTTATCTATGAATACAAATCATTCAAGGATTTTGTCTGTCAAGGTGATACATACTGAGTTGTCAAAATGATAAAAAGATGGAATAATACTGGGACTATTCAGATGATAATTTCATACCAGTAGCAAAAACTTGAAATTAAGGATTTCCTTTTCAGATTAAAACTGTAATAACGTTAATCATTTGCTGAATTTAAAGTATTTATATCTATGTAAATGAACTTGAAACTTGAAATTGAAACCAGAATAACCAGAGGCTCCATTTCTTACATTCCTAACCCTTGTGCTTTCCCTGCCTCTTGCAAATTTTATAAGGTCTGACTCGGCCAGAATATTATTGCTGTTTCTCTTTAGTTCATTCCAAGGTAATCAGTTCAAATGAAGCTGCTCAGTGCTGCTTAAAAGAGCGCATTAGGCCACACCACCAACAAAAATGAAAAACCGGAAATCTAAGTCTGTTCCTTTCAAAGATCTTTATTGACACATTGAGAAAAATAGATTTTTTTCTTCAGAGAGATAGGCAAAGAAGAAAATGTATGTAATGTGGTCAGTCATGCAAGCCCTTATAATCCATTCACTAAGCAGGTGCCTATGCAGCTCTGCCTCATGACATTTACATAGCTCAAGTTGGAGAACGGAATCTAATTCATTCTTTGTTCAAGCTTCTTCCCACCACCTCTCTTCCAGCTGAATAATCAGAGAAAGAGCAGCATTGGGCTTGAGATCCCTGACTTTTTTCTCCATACCTTAAGACTCCAGAAGAATCCTTTGGATGTAAAAATAAAGATTCCTCATGATGTGTAGAGGTATTGGGGATCCTTATAACAGGTTCAAAAAAGCCTAGTATTATCTGAAATCTAGAAAGAACAAAAAATATTCCAAAACTAAAGTTTTAAGCTGAAATCTGTAGTATTTCTTCTCAGTTAGTTCTATTCCCTTTATGGTCATGTTATTTACAAAAACAGTTGTCTTTTCATATACTACCCCTTTAAAAACTTCTGCTACCTTCTTATAAGAAGGGGTTGAATGCTTATGTGTGCACCACAGTTGAAGAAAAACAAAATTGTCATAGTCTGTTCAGTACACAGATGTTAATGGAAATCACCATATTAATGTTGTATACTTTGTTCCAGTTCTTAATTCTCAGTTTATCTTTTTCCTGTGATTGTACATGTCACATAATATACACTATACTGTTCAGAGAAAATAATACCATACCTTTATGTATAGTATCTTTTCTCGTATGAATGCTATGCTTTCTATATCCTTTCATCTTTGGCTTTTTTCTAATGAGTTTAGATTTCTAAAACTATTGCTGAAGTAAAGAAGGATAAATCATTCATATTTTATAAAAGCATACGAAGAAGTGTTAACTGACTTCTATTAACAACTCAGTAATGTCGTCATCTGAGGGAGTAAGGCTAAACCTTGGATAATGTAATCTGAGAACTTAAAGTGCAACAGCTAGCAAATTTAAATTAAAAATTATCTCAAGCTTAAAAAAATAAATCTAAAATAAATGTTGCTCCATATATACAACCTTAAGCATTTACCAAACTATTACGTACCGTTATAGTATTAGCCTTTTTTGATATTACTAAGTTAATTTTCTTATAGAGTTCTTTATAGAAGTGAGTGAATCTCAGAATGAATGGAGGATTTAAAATAAACAGGGCTTTAAAAAAAATCTTGTAAAGAAACTGCAGCTTCCCTTTATAAAAAGAAATCGCTATAGAACTAATTTTTAAAGAAATGAAATAAAGATTTTTATAAAATCAACAACCTGAGTTTTACAGATTCAAAGGGACTTGTTATGTAAAACTTTTAGCCCCAATGTTATATAACCAGTGTGGATTTGGCATTAAAAATAGAATCTAAGAAGTCAGCCAAGTGTGTTGCCAGCGCTCATCAGTGTCAGTTATGGCCTGCAGTTGTTTTTCTCTTGATCTCATGTTTTCACATTTTGCTTTGTGTGCTAGACACACACACATACACATAAACACGTACACATACACCTTGATTTCAGAGAGATGAAAAAGCCTTCTCTAGCTAGATCAGCAGTATTCAACTTTGCGTTCCTGTTAAAATCACTCAGAGAGTTTATAAAAATAATAGCATACCCAGGCCTCACCCCAGACCAGTTAAATTATGTGGGGACTGGGCATCAATATTTTTTGAAGTTCCTCATGTGATTTTGATGTGCAGCACTGGTTGAGAACTTCTGGACTAGAAAAGGAGTTATTTTTTTCCTAGGGCTTTTATCCAAGAGAACTAGCATATTGACTGTCTACCATGTGCAGGAGACTGGCTGATATTTATATGTGTTTTTTGCTCATAACTTTGTTTTCCCTAACCCCATTACAGATCAATAATTAAATTCTTATTAAGGAACTTGCTCAAAATCATGCAGCTAAAAAATAAAAAATTGAGATTTTTTAAGATCAAAATTGAAAATTTAACCTAAGTCTTAAGAACTCCAGAGTCAGTATTCTAGTGGAAAGATAGTAACAAGTAGGAGAAAAATGTGAACTAAAAACTACACAAATTACATATTAATAAAGGCTTGGCAATAAATTTTTGAAACAAAATTTCTATAATGTTTCACTTCTCCTTGTGCCCTTAAATATGATTCCAAAAATAAAGTGAGATCTGCTTTGTTAAAACCTGTCAGTAATTATCTAAATGGTTAAAACATGATTCTTAGCAAACTTGTTTTCTAGACCAGTTTAATTCTGCTTACCTGCCTAATTTCTCCCATTTTTCCCCTTCTGTCCTCCCTCAGTCCTACCAGATCTTCCATAGTTCTTATTCATTGTGTTCTTGCCATCTCTAGGCTTTTGTACATACAAGTCTCGGTAGAGCATACCATTCTCCTTAATCTACTTTCCCCTCCCTGCATTCTGTTCACTAATTCCTTCTCACCTTTTACTATGCTCAAGTGTTCTACTATACTCCCAAACTGATTAGTCTCCCATTTTATCCTAGATCGCATCTTACTGCTTCTGCTTGAAAAGGCCATGTCTTAGTAGTGGAATGAAATTAGTCCTAAAGTAAAGGCTGATTATGTACACACAATAACGATTAAAAGCAGACCTTGAAACAATCAAACTCATCTGTGAGTAATTTAATTGTAGTACAAACTCCAACGCTTTTTAAAGGTGTACAATAAGCCTAGCATTTAAGAAGATAAAATTCCAGCATCTTTTAAAAACTTACCAGACATTCAAAGGAAAAAAATATATATCCGGGGTGGGGGGGTTGGAGAGAATACAAACAGATTCAGAAATTATGAAAGGGAATTGACAAACTAGGAGTTTAAAAGAATGTAAAGAAAAACATGAACACAATGAAGAAAGGAGTGGAAAATTCAAGAAGTTCAACCCTAGCAGAATAACATGAAATTTCATGATGACATCATAATCAAATTACTTAAAAACAAGGACAAAGAAATTCTTTAAAGCAGCCAAAGAAAAAGAACACATTACACACAAAAAGTCAGCAAACTATATATGACCCTCAAGCCAAATCTATCCTGCCTCCAGGTTTTTCACAAAGTTTTATAGGAACACCGCCACAGCTACTTGTTTACCTATTGTCTGTGGCTATTTTCACACTACAAAGGCAGAGTTGAGTAGTTGTGACAGCCTATATGACCCACAAAGCCAAAAATATTTACTAGAACACTTTATTTAAAAAAAAAAAAGTGACCCCTGATAAAATCAAAGAAAAACAGTCTTAAAAGAAAATATGCAAGCTAAAAGACAATGGAATGACTTAGATCTAAAAAGTGCAGAAGGAAAAAAAAATTGTGAACCTGTGAGTAATCACTGCATCGTGAAAATGTCATTCAAAATGAAGATGAAATAGATATTTATAGACAAAAGCAAGAATTTTTCCTTGAAGATTTGCACTACATGATACGTTAAAAATAATTATTTGGACTGACGGAAAATGATACCAGATGGAAACTTGGATCTACATAAATGAATGAAGAATACTGGGATTAGATTTGGCACCACTGACTATAGAATATCCAGGAATGGAGGAACGGCTTTGGAAAAGCTCAAGACTCACACTGTGCCCGTGAGCAGCAATTTAGATATCCTGCTGCATCCACCATGCATCTATCACATACCATAAAGACAAGAGACTACCTTCCAGGAAAAGAAGTATAAACACGGATTAAAGTAGGATTTAGCAAACTATACCCTGTGAGAGCCAGCCACTTATTACATAGAAAATCCAAAATAATATAAGAACGCTATATATAACATATAAACTTTCAGAATTAAGAAGTTTAACAAG